ACAATAAATGCTGGAGAGGGTGTGGAGAAAAGGGAGCCCTCCTGCACTGTTGGTGGGAATGTAAATTGATACAGCCACAATGGAGAACAGTATGGAGGTTCCTTAGAAAACTAAAAATAGAACTACCATATGACCCAGCAATCCCACTACTGGGCATATACCCTGAGAAAACCATAATTCAAAAAGAGTCATGTACCACAATGTTCATTGCAGCACTATTTAAAATAGCCAACAGTTACTCTTAAGCAGTGGTTCTTGCAGTGTGGTCCCAGGACAGGCAGCATCAGCATCACCTGGGAACTTGTTAGACATACAAAAGCTTGAGCCTCACCCAGACGTACTGAATCGGAAACTCTGGGGGTGGAGGCCAGCACTCAGTTTTAGCAAGGCCTCCAGGGGATTCTAAGCAAGTTAAAGTTTGAGGACCACTGCTGTAATAAAACAGAGATTATCAGAGTGTGGTCTAAGACGAATATGTGCCTTGTAAGTAATCAAAGAACCAACTTCTTGTCACATTTTAACACTGATGTTAGAAGTTCTAAATAAAGGAATTTCTAACAGAAGTTCCCTCGGCCAGATGCCCACCAACATCCCAATTCTCCTGGATAACTTGCCAGTGTCATCACCTGAGATAAGAGGGGAGAATTTCTGAGAATAGTCGTTCACCTTTCCTCCATCTCATCCCTCCTGTAGTGACCTGTGCTCCCCAGAGCCCACCACACAGGTATTTCAATATGCACCACCATCTTATTCTAGCTAGATTCTCGGGCTTTAAACCACGTGGCAGTTAGACAGCCTACAGGTGCCCGATCCCACCCAAGCAGGCTGCATCAGGTCAAACTCTCTCTGATTCTCTCTCCTAATGATGAGCTCCTTCTGTTGTCCCAAACTTTCATTCATTCGTTCGTTCATTCAGTCATTCACTCACAAAGTATTGACGGAGCATACAGTGCTTCTCTAGGTGCTGGTGAAACAGCAGTGGGCATCAAGACAGCCCTGCCACTACAGAAGATCACAGCTTCCATCTGTCTTGTTCACACACCTGCCACCCTCCGGTTCAAAGTCTGAGCATGTTCTCATTGAGCTCCACGGACTGCTGTGGCACGTGCTCCACAGGGCAATCCGTTGTAATGGACAAAGCAGGGGTATGAGGTGAAAGGGACTTGAGATCGAATCGCAGCTCTACCCAGTCAGCTAGGACATTTGACAAACCACTTTTCAGTTCTCCAAGTCTCATTTGCCTTGTCCGCAAATACCCACCTCACTCAGTTTTTGCAAAGACTAAATAGAGTACATACAGGGCATAGCGCCCAGCAGATGGAGAGTAAGTTCAAATCCCCTTTCCTTTCCCTTAGAAAAGTAGGATCCTTTTCTGTTCAGGTCTAAAGCTCATCCTTTAACTTGAGGTCAAATCTGCTCTCTTCATAACCACCTGGACTTGCATTGCATCTTTCAGATTTGCTGCTGGGTCACCGTTTCTCAGGGTATGATCTGTAGACCAGCAACTTCAGAATCATCTGGACTATTTGTTAAAAATGTAGGTGGCTGGTCCCCATCCCAGACTTAGGGGTGGGGGAGAGCAAGCAAAACATCTGCTTCTTACAAACTTACCAGGCGATTCTTTGCAGGCTGGTTTAGCTGCTCTCAACTACCCCCTCAAGCCTCTTCTTGCCTTTCTCACAAGAAGTCTCTACAAAGCTTACTAACTCTGCCTGCTCTGCTCCTCTCTTCACTCCCTCCAAGCTATTCTTAAAGGGGAAGCAGAGTATCATGGCCAACAGATCAAGCTCGAGCACATACAGGTTTGAGATCAAATCCCAGCTTTGACACTTACCAATAGTTCTGAAAGCGTGGTCCCCCAGCAGCAGCCTCACCTGGGAACTTCTTAAAGATGCAAATTCTTGGGCCTCACCCCAGTTGGACTGTATCAGGGGGCAAGGCCCAGCCACCTGTGTTTTAACAAGCCCTCTAGGTTATTCTGAGGCAGATTCAAATGTGAGAACCACTGCCACTTACTAGCTAAATGATCTTCTGCAGAGTCACAGCTTCTCTAAAGCCTTCATTTCCTCATCTGTGAAATACTAGAAGCACCAACCACGTAGAGCTGTGACAGTGAAATGACAATACAGATAAAGAACTGAGTAAATAGAAAGCACTTAATGAATATGTGCTGTTATTATTAAGCAAACTGTCCTTTGTCCCACGGACTCTATTACATTTGGGATGTTTGGTTTTTTGCAATGGTGAGTAGAAACCGTCAAATTATGCCATCTTAAATGGCTCAAGGCTTACCTGCTGGACTAGTCTTATTTTTCACTCCATCCCAATCAACCGGAACGTCACTGATTTATTCCCTATCTCTGTGCCCTCGCTGGTCCTGTCCCACTTGCCCAGAATACCCTTCCATTTTCTGCCCACAAAGTACAAATCTTACTCCTCCCCAAAGGATCAGCTCAGGTCTGGGACCAGGTCTTACCTGACTGCTCAAAGCGAAATGAATCTGCCCTTCTTAAAACTGTCAGTTATCATCTGTGCTGCAGGATTTAACCCCTAAGCACATGCATGCATGCTACTGGTGGGTGTTTATCTCCTATCTAGCTGTCTTGTCTCTTTAATTATAGTGAAAGCTCTTGGGAAACAGAGATGGTACCTTATAGTTCTTTTTAAATCTCTTCGCTCACCATCTCTGGTATAGGCTAAAGGATTGAACGAATAAATTCCTCGAGCAGAGCCCAGGCACTTTAATTTAAGGCACACTTGGAGAAACTGTTTTAAAACACAGACTTTGGACTTCAGACTATACTACAAAGCTACAGTAATCGAGACAGTATGGTACTGGCACAAAAACAGAAATATAGATCAATGGAACAGGATAGAAAGCCCAGAGATAAACCCACGCACATATGGTCACCTTATCTTTGATAAAGGAGGCAAGAATATACAATGGAGAAAAGACAGCCTCTTCAATAAGTGGTGCTGGGAAAACTGGACAGCTAAATGTAAAAGAACGAAATTAGAACACTCCCTAACACCATACACGAAAATAAACTCAGGGCTTCCCTGGTGGCACAGTGGTTGAGAGTCCACCTGCCGATGCAGGGGACGCGGGTTCGTGCCCCAGTCTGGGAAGATCCCACATGCCGTGGAGCAGCTGGGCCCGTGAGCCATGGCTGCTGAGCCTACACGTCCGGAGCCTGTGCTCCGCAAAGGGAGAGCCCACAACAGTGAGAGACCCACGTACCGCAAAAAAAAAAAAAAAAAAACCTCAAATGGATTAAAGACCTAAATATAAGGCCAGACACTATCAAACTCTTAGAGGAAAACATAGGCAGAACACTCTATGACATAAATCACAGCAAGATCCTTTTTGACCCACCTCCTAGAGAAATGGAAATAAAAACAAAAATAACCAAATGGGACCTAATGAAACTTACAAGCTTTTGCACAGCAAAGGAAACCATAAACAAGACGAAAAGACAACCCTCAGAATGGGAGAAAATATTTGCAAATGAAGCAACTGACAAAGGATTAGTCTCCAGAATTTACAAGCAGCTCATGCAGCTCAATAACAAAGAAACAAACCACCCAATCCAAAAATGGGCAGAAGACCTAATAGACATTTCTCCAAAGAAGATATACAGATGGCCAACAAACACATGAAAGGATGCTCAACATCATTAATCCCTAGAGAAATGCAAATCAAAACTACAATGAGGTATCACCTCACACCAGTCAGAATGGCCATCATCAAAAACTCTACAAACAACAAATGCTGGAGAGGGTGTGGAGAAAAGGGAACCCTCTTGCACTGTTGGTGGGAATGTAAATTGATACATCCAGTATGGAGAACAGTAAGGAGGTTCTTTATAAAACTGAAAATAGAACGACCATATGATCCAGCAATCCCACTACTGGGCATATACCCTGAGAAAACCATAATTCAAAAAGAGTCACGTACCACAATGTTCATTGCAGCACCATTTACAGTAACCAGGACATGGAAGCAACCTAAGTGTCCATCGACAGATGAATGGATAAAGAAGATGTGGCACATATATACAATGGAATATTACTCAGCCTTAAGAAGAAATGAAATTGAGTTATTTGTAGTGAGGTGGGTGGACCTAGAGTCTGTCGTACGGAGTGAAGTAAGTCAGAAAGAGAAAAACAAATACCATATGCTAACACACATACATGGAATCCAAAAAAAAAAAGGTTCTGATGAACCTAGGGGAAGGACAGGAATAAAGACACAGAGGTAGAGAATGGACCTGAGGACACGGGGAGGGGGAAGGGTAAAGTGGGACGAAGTAAGAGAATAGTATTGACATATATACACTACCAAACGTAAAATAGATAGCTAGTGGGAAGCAGCTGCAAAGCACAGGGAGATCAGCTTGGTGCTTTGCGACCACCTAGAGGGGTGGGATAGGGAGGGTGGGAGGGAGGGAGACGCAAGAGGGAGGGGATATGGGGACATATGCATGCACAGAGCTGCCTCACTTTGTTATACAGCAGAAACTAACACAACACTGTAAAGAAATTATACTCCAATAAAGATGCTAAAAAAACACAGATTTTTAAGAATGATAACAATTACAGTAGCATAGGTTTGTCTACGACTTCACAGTTTAAAAAAAAAAACGCTATGGTATTTTTAACGCAATCTAGTTGTCACAAAAACCTTGTGAAGCAGGTACCATTGGCCCTGTTTGCACATGAGGAAACAGATTCAGAATGTTCTCATGACTCGCCCAAGGCAGTAGAGTGACTAAATGGCAGCGCTTGGGCTCCAACTCCCGTATCCTGTGGTAGCTTTCCCTTGGCTACTTTGCTTGGCCTAGTTTATCGCCGTCGGTGTTTACCCTTCTGGCACTGTGCTGTCATCTCTAAATTCATCTCTCCAATTCAAAGCCAGTGCTGCTCAAATAATGATGGCCTTTCTGCCACTTGAGAAGTGAGGCCAGGGCCGGTCCGCAGAACAAGAAGTATAGCCTCACCTGGTGTTCCTAAGCGGGCCTGAGCAATGGTCAGTTTCTCATGGGGTGCTTGGCACTGGCAGCTGGTTTCATCTGCAAATGGGGCAGGTGCAGTCAGGGTCTAGAAGGGAAAAAGAGAAAGGGAATATAGTCTGACAAACTTTCCTTTGGCACTAACTTCCCCTGGAATTTTATTTCTGTTGACTACGCGCGTGTGATTAAGTAGAAGGTATGTGCCGAGTCTTTTGGAGAAATATTGTACTGTTAGAAATAAAAACGGACGCTGTCACTGAAACCTTTTGTTTTGAATGATGCTTCAGAAATAAGAGCTCTTCAGTGTGTACTATCTGCCAGGTACCAGATGTGGTCCCACGATGGCTAGCTACTGCTCCCCTCCTACAGGCACTCTATCCTTCTACAGTGCAGGATAATACCATCCCTATATCACAGAAAAGGAAACTGGGGCTTAGCAGGATTAAGAAATATGCTAAGTCATGCCCCTGGAAAGTCACAACGCTCAGCTTTGAGCATTTCACCAACAAGGAGGGCGGACTTCAAACATTCAGACTTACCCACACCCGGGGGTACTCGGCTGGAAGGAATGCCATAGTCAGGAGTGTGGCAGACATCTGTATTTCACACACAGCGGCCTGGCCAATCACAAACTCCGACGTCTCTTTAGCGCAAAGGCCAAAGCCGTTATCTGTGCCCGGGGGGCGTGGGGGGGGGGTGCCTAAAAGCACAGCGTTTCTGGCGGGCTGCAGATAACTGCTCCTCTGGTAGCCCCCACAGCCACCAACGGCTGGAGGCCCCGCCCCAGGCAGCTTGCGCTGGGGCTCTGGGGAGCGCTGTCAGGGAGATGTAGTCACTTGGAAGCTTGCCCAGGAAGTGGCCCTGTATTTTTGAGTCAGCCTCTTAAAATGAAAACCTCACTCTCTAGACAGAGGAAGACAAAGCGAGCAGTATTTTTGTAAACAGGGCAAATGCAATCCCGAATCTATTTGTAGTCTTTGAACCATGTCCTTACCATGGTCATCGCTACATCATCTTTAATATTTTTAAAGCTGAAGGTGACGAGTCACTGTGAGCATACTGTTGCATGCATACTCATATTGTTGCATGAATTATTTCTTAGAGATAGACACAGGTGTTCCTTAACTTGGGAAGACTCGACTGAAGAATGATCCACATATGTGACGGGGGGGCTGTGGCCCACTTCTGCCATTCATTTACTCATTCACTCATTCACTCACTCAGTCATTCACTCATTCAAATATATGTCAGGCACTATCTTAGAACTGGGGATAGAAGCACAGATAAGACCAGTCCCTACCTTGGAGTAGCCCCCATTCTCCTCTGCCCTGCGCCCACCCTCTCCCCACTGTAGCACCTTCCACCCTGGGAGCTGGAGTCCTGCCCCAGGGTTCTTTGGAGACCTCCCAGCTGCCTGAGACTTTCTTAAGCCCCACCCTCCCATTCGGGACTCTGAAAGCAAACCAAGACTTGAGACATGGATTCTGGAAATGTGAGTCTGTTATTGGTTCTCTTTCACATACTGTAAGGTGACCTTGTGGGCCGTGATGGGCTACAGCAGTGTTCGTGATGTAGCAAAGGGGTGCAGGTGCAGCCAGAAGAGCAGAGGCTCTGTAGCCACAAAATGGGGGTTCAAATTCTCTTTCCAGCACTTAAAGGCTGTGTTCTAATTTGGCTCTCCTAGTTGAAAGGAACTGATACTAGGGACTTCCCTGGCGGTCCAGTGGTTAAGACTCTGCCCTTCCAATGCAGGGGGCACGGATTCAATCCGCACGCCCTGGCTGGGGAACTAAGATCCCACATGCTGTGTGGCGTGGCCAAAAAATAAAAATTAAATTAAATTAAAAAGTAGAAGGTAGAAGAAAGAAATTTTAAAATAAATAAAATTGTTTTAAAAAGAAAGGAACTGATACTAAACGTTGCTCAAGAGATGAAGGATTATTTTACGGCTACCCTGGCACAGAAACTGTGGGGATAAAAGGAGGAAAGGGGCAGCGGATTAGCCCCAGAGCGCTCTGCGTCGACCTGGCTGCTCCTACTCTGATTACTCTATGTCCTTCTTATGTTAAAGTCTCTGCCTTCTCCTCCCTGATAAACTTCAGCTCGAATATGGCCCATTACAGCTTCCTCAGCCTCCCCTCCCAAGCTTCATTCATTCCTACCAACTTGCTGCTTCTTTCCATGTTTCCCAATTCCAATTCCTAAAGGAAGATCAGATTGGCCAAGCTCATCTTTTCAAACCAGGCCACAACCGGGATTGGCTGGCGCTGAGTCAGGGGCCACCTGGGGCCCACCGGCTGTAGCTGGTGAAGGGAGGGGGAGTGGCAAGGAAGGTCACGGGTGGCCTGTCACTGCCTCTTTAGCAGGGGCTGCCTTTGGGGCAAGAAATGTATCTGACTTTGTGTGTTCTTGAAAGGAAGCTCCTCAACTTAGTTGAAACTCAGTTTTATCTGTAAAATCAGTACCTATCTTGTAGGGTTGTTGTGAAAAATAGGGATCATGTACGTAAAGTAGCTGGTACTCAATGACTTGGAGCAATTTTTAGTGCTTCTATTAGGGTTCATTATTATATGTCATAATATATAGTACTATATGTTGTGATAATTATATCTATTGTGTAGTTCCCCATTGAAACAAGCAAACTCTTGACTGAACTTTTAGGACACGACCCAAATAGGTAAATGAATTGGCAGATGGGGTGAGCTGATATTAATGACTGATTAACCTTTAATCTATGTGGACAGTGACTCTTTTTCACATGATCTGAAATAAATTACTAACTGGAGATCTTTTATGTGCTAGTCACAAACTTTATTAAAGATATAAGGTGCTGGGGCTTCCCTGGTGGCGCAGTGCTTGAGAGTCCGCCTGCTGATGCAGGAGACACGGGTTCATGCCCTGGTCTGGGAGGATCCCACATGCCATCGAGCGGCTGGGCCCGTGAGCTGTGGCCGCTGAGCCTGCGCATCCAGAGCCTGTGCTCCGCAATGGGAGAGGCCACAACAGTGAGAGGCCCGTGTACCA